TCCTCTCGCCTCGGCGGGGCAGCAGCGGTCACGGCCGGGCAGCAGTGGCAAGGCGGTCCGGAGCTGGCTTCCAGCGGGCGCCGTGACGGGCCCGTTGCTGCGGTTATTCTGATTGTCGTTATTAGAGGCGGCCGCTGGCTGCACTGTCGAGGGGAAGCGGCCTTCGTTAATGTGGGAGCTCCTGGCGGGCGGGAGACTCGAGCTGGCTTCTCTGAGGAGGGCTATGAGCGAGCTGGGCCTGCGCCAGTCGCCAGCACAGAGGCCCCCGAAAGCCCACAGCTGGAGCCGACCTGAAAGCCAGCTGTGGCCCCAAGGTCACCTCCCTTGGCCCCCACGGGCCCCCTGCGGCCCCGGGCCCAGTTCTGGGCTACACACCTGGAGTCCCTGAGCCGGGCCGAGCCATCGGGGCCGGGGCTGGCGGGCACCCGGCCGGGGTGGGGGAGGCAGGGGCACAGCTCTCAGGGAGGGATGGTCAGCTGGGCAAGAGGGGAGCACGTGCCGGCCAGCCCAGGAAGGGAAGTCGAGTCCGGTGGCGTTTTCGGAGCACCGGGGCCGCCGGCTTCGTGCTCACGCAGGCCTGCGGCGCCTCCTGCCAGCTGGCTCACGGGGGCGCCGGGCGCAGGGGCCAGCAGCCCCCGGAGCCACGGCTGGAGGCCGGGCCGCCACTTCGCCAGGGAGAGCAGAGCAGAGCAGAGGCCTCCCTCCCCCGGCCCCAGGAGGCAGAGCTGGCCCCGGCTGACCCGGCCGGCAGAGGGGAGGGGCGCCAGGCCATCCGTCTGGAGCCCGCTAATTAAGGCCTGGTCCCGATAAGGCCGAGCAGGAAGCGAGGTCAGGGCTCCCGGTTCCGCCCGCAGCCGAATTCAGGCCAGCGTTCAACTCCGGTGGGGAGCCGGCGGGCCTGGGCCGCGGACACCGTGGAACCGGTCACTGGAAGGATTGCTGGAACCGGTCGCTGGCCTGGTCCCTCTCTCCGGGGCCCAGATCGTGTTTTCTGGGAGATTTGACCGGGGAGCGATGTTGGGTCAGCCAGGGCAGTTGCCTCCTGGAGCGAGGGTCAGCCTGTGTGCTCCAGCCCGCCTGGAGCTGCCGGGCCCTCGGCCCTCGGGCGTGGGGGCGCGGCGGGCGGGGTCGGCCCGGCCTCCGAGGCAAACGCCACAACACCAAAACCAGATACTGTCCCTGGCTTGTTTTTTGGCAAAAACTGCCCCGATCCAGAGAGAAGCCACACGTGTGTGTAGGTGCGTGTGCCAGTGGGCCGTGTGGGTGTGCGCGTGGATGCGGAGGCTTGCGGGTGTGTGCGGGTGGGTGTGGGTGTGCAGGTGTGCAGGTGTGTGCAGGTGTGCATGGGCCTGCATGTGTAGGCGTGCAGGTGTGCGTGGGTGTGGGCGGGTGTGTGCGGGTGCATGGGTGTGCAGGTGTGGGTGGGTGC